TGAGGTTGCTGTGAGCTAGGCTGACGCCACGGCACTCACTCTAACCCGGGCAAAAGAGTGAGACTCTGTCTCAAAAAAACAAAAAACAAAACAAAAAAAAATTTCCAGGATACAACCCAAAACTACTGAACATAGGAAAATCAGGAAAATCTCAGCATATCATAAGGAAAAAGATGACAGATGTCAAACCTAAAATGATACAGATGTTGGAATTATCAGAAAAACAATTTAAAGCAGCTATCATGTTTCAATAAGTAAGGGCAAAGACTCTTGAAATGAATGCAAATATAGAAAGCTGCAGCAGAGAAAAGATGTAAAGAAGAACCAAATAGGAATTTTAGAACTGAAACATATACAAATCACAACAAAATATTTATTGAATGGGCTCAAATGCATAATGGAATTGTAAAAGGAAAGAATAAATGAGCTTGAAGATAGATCAATAGAAATTATTAAATCTATGAACAGCAAAGAAGAAAAAGGTTGGAATAAATACAAACAGAGCCTCAGGAACCTGTGGGACAATATCAAAAGGCCTAATATTCATGTCTTTGTAGTTTCAGAAAAAGATGAAAAAAAAATGTGGTACTGAATTGTGGTGAAGAAATAATAGCTGAAAACTTCCCAAATTTGATAAGTGACATAAACTTAGATTCCAGAAGCACAGCAAACCCCAACACAGTAAGCTCAAAGAAGTTGATGCCTAGACACCTCAAAATAAAACTGCCGAAAGTGAAAGATAAAGAAAATATCTTCAAATCAGCCAGATAAAAAATGCATGCATATAGGAAACAATTCAAATAACTGGCTTTCTAATCAGAAACCATGGAGACCAGAAGAAGGTAGTTGAATAACATTTTTAAAGTGTTTTTTTCTTTTAAAAAAAAACCTGTTAACCCAGATTCTATATCCAGTGAAAATATCCTTCAGGAATGAAGGTAAAATACAGACATTTTCAGATGAAGGAAATTCTGACAGTTCATTGCCAGCAGACCTGCTTTAAAAGAAATGTTAAAGGAAATTCTTCAGATAGAAGGGAAGTGATACCAAAGGGAAATTTGGAACTTCAGGAATGAGGGGAGAGCAGCAGAAATGGTAAATATCTGGGCGTATTTAATAGGCTATTTTTTTTTCTTTTAAGCTCTTTAAAATATGTATAACATTTGATGAAGTATAATATCGGCCAATGAAGTTTTCAACGTATGTAGGTATTACAGGTTGAATTGTGTTCTCTCAAAATTCTTATGTTGATGTCCTAACCCTAGTATCTCAGAATCTGACTTTATTTGAAGATAGAATCTTTTCAGAGGTAATCAAGTTAAAATGATGTCATTAGTCCAATTAACTGGTGTCCATATAAAAATGGAAAATTTAGACACATATGAAGGGAAGATGACGTGAGGAGATATAGAAGTTGGCCAAGGAGAAAGGCGTGAAACGGATCCTTTCCTCACAGCCCTTAGAAGGAACCAAACCTGCTGATACCGTTATTTGGGACTTCTAGTGTCCAGAACCGTAAGATGATACATTCTTTAAATTTCTGTTGTTTAAGCACCCACCCGGTCTGTGGTACTTTGTTACGGCAGTCCTAGCAAACTAATACAGGAGATGCAATGCATGTGACAATTACAACATAGCATAAAGGACTTTATATACTGGAGAGGTTTCTGTATTCCACTCAAAGTGGTAAAACATTGATTCTAAGTAGACCGTGAAAAGTAAAGTATGGTGTATTGTGATCCCTAGAGCAGCAACTATAAAAACCATACAAAGAGATATAGTAAAAAATGCAATAGGTAGATGGGGTAGTGGCTCATGCCTGTAATCTGAGTGACTCAGGAGCCTGGGGTGAGAGGATTGCTTGAGACCAGGGATTCAAGAC